CAAAAACTCTAGTCACAATTTCATTTTCTGAGCCCTGATGGCACAGTGGTTAAAGTTCAGTATCGCAGGCAAACTCTGCCCACAGTCTGGAATTTGATCTTAGTGGGGCTCAAGGTTGATTCAGCCTTCCATCCTTCTAGGGGTCAGAAGAATGAGGACCCAGATTGTTAGAGGCAATATGCAAATAATGCTTCAACGTTGTAAATCACCTGAAGAATACTGTAAAGCAGGGGTCCTTAAACTATGGCCCTCGGGCTGGATATAGCCCACTGACACAATATATCTGGCTCGTGCAGTGGTTGGATCAGCCCCACCCCTTGCCTCCCAACCGCTTCTTGTGTGGCTGGCTTTTCCCACTGCCCTCATCTCCTCTCCTCCAGCCATCAGCCTTATATATACCTTGCAGAATCCAGCCGCACTTCTGCACACTTCTGCTCTCCGCTCCTTGCAAAGGTAAGGCCAAAGGGTGTGGGCTGGTTGGCTGGTGGGTGGGGGAGGACCAGCTGGTGGAACGGTGATACCAGCGGCAGGTGGACTGACGTACGCCAGGAGGGAGGGGAGCGTGCAGGAGACGGCAGCATCAGGACCTCCCTGGTCTTCCCTGAAGCCGCCATGGCCATGCAAGACTGAAGCACCCCTGTACTTGCCTTTGCAGCATCCCGCCTTCATCGCAGTACATTTGCTGTTGCCACTTCCATGGCCTACCCTCTGCTCTCGCAGTGCCATGTGTAGCACAGTGAAGGTTAGCGCGTTTCACAATGGGGGAGATAGAGTCCACCCTCCTCCTGGAGGCCATTACAACGTGGAACCACAATGCAACCCTGCTGCAGTCGCCCCTGGCAACAGCAGCGCTGGCTCGCTCTTGCCTCCTGGCCTGCAGGCCGCTATATTGTGGTGCCCCACCTCCCCGCCAGCCAGCTGGTCTTCAGCTCGCCCATCCGCTGGGTGACTAGCCCAGAAGCGGCGCATCCCCTGGTCAAGGACTGGATACAGGGCCTGAGGTGGAGAGGAGGGTGAGTGGGTGGCCCTTGGGGCCACATGCTGGGGCGCTGTGTGCTCTCAGGCCTCCTTCTTCTGGGATCATATCTGTCCACCATCACAAACCCAGATGCCCCTGGAGAGAAGTCAGCAGCCATGCTATCAGTGAAGCAATGCAAATTGTGCATATAAAAAGGATTGTGATAAGGGCAGATGGAAAACATGATTTCCACATTGAATCAGAGAAAGCCAATGGTAGCTGCCCTCAGCTATGGGCTGGAAATGAGAGGGAGGCTCTATCATACAGATGAGTCCTTAAAGAATGGTTTCAAGAAGCCTTTGAGACAAAGGCTTTGTGTGGATGTGCTCATTCTCTCCTTAAGCAATCTCCTTGTGCTCAGGGAGATTGCTTAAAGAGAGTGGTGATGGAAGTAGTGTCTTCCATCACTCAAGCTACAGATAGTCCTCATTTAACAAGGATTCACAGTTACATCAGTGATGGAAAAGCAACCAAGCCTCATATTTACGGCCTTTAAGGGTCGGTAAAGCAAAGGAAAAGTGAAGAACATAAATACAGTTGTGGTTTCACTTAGAAACCGCTTTGCTTAATGATTGACAATTCCAAGTGTGGCTGCCAAGCAAAGATTCTTGATATAACTACATTGCTATTAAACCTCTGAGTCTATCTCAATAAGTATAGTTTCAGTAGGTGCTCTTTATGTTGCTGTCTATGGGGTCTATAGAGTTAAACTCATCAAACAAGATATTTGAATTTTATCTTTATTTAGCAAATTTCTCTCTTTCTGAGAAGATTCACTCTGCACAATTATACTACCCTGTTTCCCCCAAAATAAGACATCCCCTGATAATAAACCCAATCGGGCTTTTGAGTGCATGGCAAGTGCTTATTTCAGGGTTCCAAAAAAAACATAAGACAGGGTCTTATTTTCAGGGAAACATGGTACAAGGGGAAAATCTATCCAAATATTTTGGAACCCAAGCAAAGTACCAAATATCTGTGATACAAGCCTAATTTCCTAGAACCAAAGGGATTAGAAAATTTTACTGGAAATCTTGAGTATCAATTTTTGTCTTCTGCCAATCCCCCGTCTTCTTCCATCTGCTTCGGTCTGCCTTTCTTAATTTAAATCTGGCAAAGCTGAGCTGAAAGAGAATAATAAATCTGGCTCCAAAGAAATAATAAATCTGATTTGTCCAAAGAAAAGTGGGTGGGACTCCAGTTGAATTAGGAATAGAATAAAACAGCACAGTACAGCACAGAACAACAGAACAGAATAGAATTTTTTATTGGCCAAGTGTGATTGGACACACAAGGAATTTGTCTCTGGTGCATAAGCTCTCATTGCATATACAAGCAAGAAGTGATAAATCATGATCATAATCATAAAAGTCATCCGTCATAAATCATAAGATACAACACTCAGTGACAGTCATAGGATACTAAATAAGCAATCAACACAAATCATACTAGGAAACTAAATAGAACAATGTAATTAATACGATACAAGCAACAGAATTATAGTCATAAAAATATAAAATACCATGTCCCCCTGAAAATAAGCCCTAGCCTGATTTTTTTAAGCCCGAGTGAAGGGGTGTGTGGGGCTAGCATAGCTCACAGTGTCCAGCAGCAGCCACAGCCCACACAGCACAGGTCAGTTGATTATTTGTCCAAGCAGCAGGCAGAGACAAAGGCGGGGGGAGGCATGCAATCTCGACGTGCCGCATGGTCCGGATCAGTGGGTGGCCATAGGAGGCTCACCTTTGCATGTCTAGACTTGCCTACAGCCCACATAGTGCATCAGGATCCCCTGCCTTTCACCCCATACTTCTGCCTGCTGCCAGTGCCGGTACGCGAAGACAAGCCTCCCACAGCCGCCTGCCCGCTCTGGCCTAACTCTCTGCTTTCCTGCAGCCTGAGCAGCGTGTCTGGATCACCTGCCTCCCCTACCCCACCCCGCACGCCTCTGCCTGCTGCTTAGACACAGAATCAACTCACCTACACTACGCGGGATGCGCAGCCCCAAAGTGTGCTAAGGGACCGGTGGACTGTATCTGCTGCCCACTGCAGCACATCTGCTGCGTCTTGTGTACACACTGAGGGTGGGATGCCTAGTCAGGCTGATTACCCTGAAATTGTGTTTCCCTGAAAATAAGTCCTAATGCTTATTTTGGAGCAGCCAAAAAAAGAAGACTGGGTCTTATTTTCTTGACTGCTCCAAAATGAGCATTAGGACTGGGTCTTATTTTCGGGAAAACACAATAGGTAATAGGAAAGATGAGCAGGATAATAGTAATAAGCCCTACTAGGTAGTTTGACAGTGTTGTGGGAATTCGTTGTTTAGCAGAGTGATGGCATGGGGGAAAAACTATCCTTGTGCCTAGCGTGCAATGGCCTATACCGTCATCTTGAGGGAAGAAATTGAAAGAGTTTATCTCCAGCATGTGAGAAGTTTGTAGATATTTTCACAGTGGTCTTTCTAGCTCGAACAGTATACAGGTCCTAAATGGAAGGCAGGCTGGTAGTAACTGTTTTTTCTGCAGTTCTAACTATCCGTTGAAGTCTTTGTCTATCTTGTTTGGTTGTAGTGCCAAACGAGACCGTTATAGAGGTGCAAATGACAGACTCAATGATTCCTTTGTAGAACTGTATCAGCAGCTCCTTGGGCAGTCTGAGCTTTCTGAGTTGACCAGGAAGAACGTTCTTTGTTTTGCTTTTTTGATGACATTTTTGATGTTACGGGTCCATTTTAAGTCTTGACATACCATAGAACCTAGAAAATTGAAGGCTTCTACATTTGATACTATGTTGTCTAGTATTGTAAGAGGTGGTAGAATAGGAGGGCTTCTCCTAAAATCTACTATCATTTCTACTATTTTGAGTCAATTCAGTTCAAGATTGTTCTGGGTGCACCACAATGCTAGTTGTCCAACTTCCCATCTGTATACAGGTTCATCAAAGAAAGGAAGTTAAGAGTGAGATCATTTAACTGGACTAGATTATATGCAGGATACTGCCTATCAATTTAAACCTCAAAAACTCTGCAAATGTACATTTTGTACACCTGTAAAATCATTGCAGGAGTCAAACTTTTCACCATACTGTATAATTATGGACAAGGAAGCAACGAATCTTCACTAGATTCCAATTGAGTCTCTTGGGGCATATACAATACCAGGGATATGGGCAACTCTGGCACCTTTGGGAACTGCAGACTTCAACTCCAAGAATACCTGAATCAGCCCTGTAAGCTCAGGAGTTGAAGTCCACAGATAGCAAAGGGATCATAGTTGCCCATCCCCTAAATATACCTTCCCTAAAAGTATGAATGGCTTTAATTTTGAAATTGCATGTTTACACAACTGTAAACTCTTCAAGGATACAGCTAATGAATGTCTTTACAGCATCCCCTGTTGGAGATGGGGTGATAGTAAAAAAAAAAAATGGCAATTTCCATGGAATCTGTATTTTTCATCAGCTTAAGTGCCCTAACAATATGGAATACTGTAGTTATGTGCAAACTTCTTCTGTTTTGAGATCACAGTGATTGTGCAACTACTATTACAGGTAGTTCTCAATTTACAACTGGTCATTTAGTAACCATTCAAATTCACAAAGACTTGAAAAAAAGTCACAGGTAGCAGCCTCCCCATGGTCATGGGATCAAAACAGAAGATGCTTGGCAACCAGCATGTATATATGTATGACAGCATGCCACGGTGGGGGATTATTATTTATGACCTTCCCAGTTGGCTTTTTAAAAGTCAATGTGGGAAACCAGATTCATTTAAGGACCACATGAGTCACTGAACAACCAGAACAATTCACTTAACAACAATGGCAAAAAAGGCCATAAATAAGGCACAATTACCTTAAGTGCCTCGCTTAGCAATGGATCTTCTGGTCCAAATTGCAGTCGTAAATCAAGAACTACCTGTATTGTATCAATTACATGTTTTAATTTTAGTAGCTGTTTTTCTTTTCTATAACATCAGATCTCCTATTTGATTCCATATTTGTCATAAAAAACAAACATCATCCAGAGTAAAAGAGAGTAAAAAAAGAGAGTAATAAACAGCCTCCATCATCCACTGCAGGGAGTGTACTTCCTCATGAATATGCCGATGAATTCTTGTTTCTAAGGAAATGTTACAACTATTAAGTAAAATCGAACAACTTTTAAATTTGCCACCATTTAATTTGATGTTTAATTGAAAAATAAACAAGCAAGCTGGAGGACAAAATAAAGTAATATGAAATGCCATTGCTGTTCCTGAAACCTTTGTTGCTAACAATTCTCGTATTTTCTTCCTGGTGTTCTTGTTTTACTGAGATTTGGTAATCACATTATCATAAGTCGGAGGAGGAGGAAGAGGATTTGGTTCAGCTGCAACTTCTCCACCTCCGATGACTTGGTAAGGCATAAAAACCATGGTTGGCTGTAACAGAAAAGAATAGTTAATACAAAAAAATACTCAGGGACGCATCTGTTACTCTGGGTAGGAGGAATAGATTCTCCAGTTGTGTGTTTTTAACTGTGATGCTGGCAGTCTCACCAACAGGCTGAAATCCTTGATAGCTCTAAGATCTGATAGAGAATTCTTTAAAACTATAAATTAAGAGGCAAATGATGGGCATTTAAGTAACTTTTCCTGATCAAATCTGCCAGCTTTATGCCCACATTCAGAGAATGTCTGCTCAGGATCTCCCACCTACCAAGAGGTGTGACAGGAAGCTCCTCCCACCACCCACCCCAGTCAGTGTTCCCTGTGTGGAATAGATGCCCTTCTGAAATAAAGATGGAATCAACTGAGATGGTCCTCTGGAAAGTGGTAATGACCTGGCTTCTCCTGAGGACCTTTGGAGACTGATTTTATTTTGGGCCTTAGTTTTTATTGCAGTTATATATTAGTTATATTTTAAGTTTCTGTATTCGTACTGTTGTAAATCTTCTAGAGTCCTGCTTAATTGAGGAACATAAAGAAATAAATAATATTCTCGTGATTTATTCACAAATGCTCTCAGAGTATTAATTTATTTTAACAATTTCAAGGCCCGAAGAAGATGCATTTCCCTCCAGGGGAGGTTATTTTTTGATTTCTAAAATGGCTTCAATTGACAGTTCCTGTGAACTGATGCAGGTATCGATAAAGAAAAAGTTTTGGAGCTCAGGGTTGAAATAAGGGGACCTTGATTGGTTATTTTTTTGCAGATGTTTTATTACCCAACTAATAAAACTGATGATGTTAGCTAGTTTGAGTAATGAAACATCTGCAAGAAAACAAGCAAGCTAGAGAGCACCATGGACCCTAAGACAGGTATCTCTGTATGCTGACTTAGCTGCTTGCAATACAGTAGTGGCCAAAATTGTGGAAACCTTTTGGGAAAAGTATATTTTCTAAAACTAGCTAATAACACCACATTTTTGGGGGGAGTAGTACCATAAAATTATATATCAATGGAAAAATAATTTAATCAAGAATGTAATGCAATAACCTTTATGAAGGATCTGCTACAGTATTAGAATAGCAGTTACGGTATAAAAAAAAAGTGAAATATAGAGATTTACAAAAAATATCACCATAGAAATAATGAGATATATAAAAATTATCACATCAGTTGATACTTAGTTGGGTAACCTTTAGCATGAATTATGGCCTTATAATGTCTTCCCATGGAGTGAACCAAGTCTTTTAGTTCTGCAGCTGTTAATGTTGAATTATTTCTTCCATTAACTGGGTTTTATTGCTGGGTCGCTTCTGACTAACAAGTTTCTTTAGTTGGCTCCAGTGGTGAAATGTAAAATTTGTTACTACCAGTTCTGTGGGCGTGGCTCGGTGGTGGTGGTGGTGGTGGTGGTGGTGGTAATGCGACTGGGTGGGCGTGGCCAACTTTTTTTTTCTACTTTTTTTTTCTACTGAAGAGATTGTAAAAAAAAATGCTTTTAAAAGGTTCTGACAATCCCATCTGAGTTGCCTGATTGTCAGAGGCTTTTGTTTTCTTTTAAAAGCATTTTTTTTTTGCATTTAAAAAAAAATGCTTTTAAAAGACACTGATGATGCCAGCTGATCTGCACAATCATCAGAGGCTTTTTTTTTTACTTTTAAAAGCATTTTTTCAGCTCAGCTGGGCATGTGGGGGGACAGGGATTTTTGCTACCGGTTCTCCGAATCACCTACCGCCATTGCTACCGGATCGGGTGATCTGGTCCGAACCAGGAGCATTTCACCCCTAGTCAGCTCCATAGCTTTTCAATTGGGATAAGGTCTGGGCTATTTCCAGGCCATTCTAGCAATGGAATAGGATTCTCTTGAAACTCCAAAAAAAAGTGGTGTTATTAGCCATCAAACCTCAAAAATACACTTTTCCCAAAAGGGTTCCATAGTTTTGGCCACTACTGTATTTTTAGAGTTCTTCTGTTTTGTCAGGTCCAATCATATTTACCCCCTTCAGTCTTTCTTCTGTCCCATTTTCTCCCTCTCAAATTAATCTAAAGCATTTCTGAAAGTTTGAGAGTATGTTTGTTATTGGTACAAAGGACTGTCTAACAAGGGACAGACGTGGCTTTCTGACCCACCACAAAACAGGAGCCTGGTGGTGCCCTGAGTCTCCAGAGAAGGGCAGCATATAAATCAAACTAATAAATAAATAAATAAATAAAACTTGCCAATGCAGAATGTAGGTACGTGGATGGTAATTCAATTGTTTCCAACTGATTTTTTTCAAAGGCTTTCGTAGTGCTGACAGAACCTCTTTATTACCAGATCTATATATGGAGATCTTAGGTAGCAAAAAGTGGTCATGTATTCAGTTGTTTGAGAATTAACAATAATGTTATTTTTTTAAAAAAATGAAAAACACCTATTTTTTTTAAAAAAATGATAGCATTGAGAGAAAATGTAATCAAGTGACAGAGACTTTAAATTAATGTAGTCACACTACTAAAGTAACAATATTTAGAACCGAGCCCTCGAACATGGAGACATCAACTTCTGCATCACTGAATTATAAAGAGACCACACAAACTGTGTTATATTCATGACATTCACTCTCTAGCAAAACAGAAGCTGGGAAAAATTCACATCATCCAATTATTCATATGCAGAAGCAAATAAATCACAGGATGTTAGATCACAATTGAAACCTCTCCTAGTTATAAAGGTTACTGGGTAAACCGAGTAGCTAATCTCACCTATTATTCAGGGTAATAGCAAAGAAACAAGCAAAAGGTCAGGTTGGGTGGAGCGCAAATATAAAGAACAAAAATGGACAATCTTCTTTACATTCTTTAACAATGAGAACTGCTAAAGCTATTATCAAAGTATCAAATATTTACCTGGGCATCACTACGGCAAGTGGCCTGGCAGCCGAAATGAGCCAATGAAACAGCGATGCAAAATTCCAGCAGGCTCAACAACAACAGCACAATGGCGAAGCCATAACCGACACTCTGTAGAGTAGGAAGACAAGTGGAAATATAGTTGTATTCTGAGAAATTAATGTAATGGTATCTATTTTATTTTATTGAATGAGTTACAGTCACACCATTAAAAGGGACTCCCAGCTGCTTCCTTGTGAAACATTGGGAGGAACAACTGTATTGGGAAAAACAACGACACTGTACAGGTAATCCTCGACTTAGAACCACAATTGGGACCATATTTTTGTTCTGTCCCCGTACCACGCACACACCCACACAGACGGCCCGGAGTTAATAAGCCACGCGACAAAACTCTTTGATGATAAAGCTGGCAGCAACCCAGTGGCTAGCTGCCAATTCAGACTTTACTCACACAAAACGAAGATTAGCCTGCCAGCATTCCGATAAAACAGGCAGAGTTTTCAACAATACCAGAATTAATCCAAATGCAGTCCGATAAAGCAGGCAAAGTCCAGTAACGCAGAAATCATAGATTAGTTCTAGTTTTTGCTCGTCACAAACTGAACTGGCCACCACACCCACATTTATATCCTGTGGGGTGTGGTCCAGTGACTCAGCTAATCTCTGCCATGCCTTCCCCTCTGCTGTGCACACGCTTCTCCCTGTGCCTCTGGTGAGGGTCCAGCCAGCACTTATCTTCCTCATCACTGTCCACCTGTGGCTGCGGGGACGTGCTTGGCTCTGAGCCTATCGTTTGGCCTTCCGTGTCCTCCAGAGGCATTGCCAGAGAGGAGGGTCCTGGAGAGGGAGGCCTTGCCAACTCCTCCTCCTCACTCTCAGAGTCTGCATCTGTCGATAGCCCAGGCTCAGGCAACGGAGCCACAACAATTTTCCACTGCTAAACAAAGTGATTGTTAAGTGAGTCGTTGCGTAATTTTACCTTTTCTGCCACTGTTGTTAAGCAAATAGGTGCAGTTAAGAGAATCATATGGTTGTTAAGTGAATCCACCTTCCCCACCCCCACTGTCTTTGCTGATCAGAAGCTGGCTGGGAAAGTCGCAAAGGGGATGCTGCAACTGTCCTAAATAAATTGTTCATGTGACTGTGGGGATGCTGCAAAGGTCGTAAAAGCAAGGAGTGGTCATAGCTTTGAGTGCCACTGAAACTCTGAATGGTCACTAAATGAATCGTTGTTCATTCAGTTGAAGACTGCCTGTACAGCCTGTGTGATATGAGAAAACCGCATCAGGGAACATTAGTAGCGTCTCTTATGTTTTGCAGCGTTCTAAGGGGAAATTCCAGATATCACTGAGAATCAAGTGGGGATCAGCCTTATTTCAGATTCAATAAGATCGATGATCTTATTTCAGATCAATAAATTAAATCATTGCACAGTAGCAGGTATTTCATTGTTTCTTCTTTATGCACCACAAAATGCTATTCATGTAGGATGAAGCAAAGAAGAACAATTCAATTCTCAGTCTAAATCACGGGATTTAAACTCAAGGCTTGTGGGCCAGATCCAGCCCACGGGATGCTTAGATCTGGCCTGTGGGACTGCCCTGGAAACAACAAAGGATTGGCTCACAGTGCCTCTGCCAGCAAAATGGAGCTCACGCGAGCTGTGTGAGGCCCTCCCAAGCTCTGTTTTCAATGGTGCAGGGTTGCAGGAGGCTATAGCAGCCAAAAACGGAGCTTGGGAGCCCATTTTCATTGGCAGAGCACTCAGGCTATCAGAGGCACCTCCCAACATGAGTGACATCGAGTTGACTATCCCCACCCTGGCCATGTCCAGCCTGGCTCCCTGAGGTCAAACACAATACTGATGCAGCCCTCAATGAAATTGAGTTTGACACCTCTGGACTGAATCATTAGTTTTACCAATGCAGAAATTCACAGCTCTCCTAACAAAACCGGCTAAAGGATATTGATCATGCTAGACAGTGATGTAGTGTTAGCAGAAAAAAATCAGATTGGATTCCTTGGAGGAATGTGGGAGTTGGAGGCCTTAGGTCAGATAATGGGAAGGACATCCCATAGTACTGTCAAAAGTTACCTCCAAGCTATGTAGGCCATAGTATGATAAACATTACTTTATCATTCTTATTCTTATGTTCTAAGCATATTTAACCCATAATCTTTCCTAATTCTAGGTTCTTTGGCATTCTGCTGGCCACATACCCAGTGATCACTCTAGCTTTGCATGTCAGTGAAAGATGCTTTCTTTTGCTTACCTCCAATTCCTCTGCTTCATTATTTAAAGGGACATGTTCCCCACAACAAGGTGTTCAGGTTATGATGACCCAAACACATTAGAACATTTTGGGTGTATGTTCTCCTAAATTACCCCAAGAGTCACAAGGGACAGAACCCACAGCAGTGAAAGCAAACTAATTCATTCTGCACCTGCACATTTTCCTTATTTGGGAAATATACCATCTCTGTTCCTGTCCCCCTGGACCGCTTATAATCATTCAGATAAAATCTGATTTGCACTTTTTGCTTTGGAAGAGCCTTGTTTCCAAACTGGTGTGCGTAATTTATCCTTCAGTCAACACCATCAATAATGAAAGTATCAAATCCCTAGTCCCTATTGCCAGTCCCTTTCCTGCCCAATGTTGCTTTGGAAGAGCCCTGTTTCAATGTGTGGTATTTCCTGAATCTAATCAACTGAGTCAAAGTACTATGTGTGTAATTTTTCCTTGAGTAAACATCAAACATAATGAAGGCATCAAATCCCTAGTCCCTATTGCCAGTCCCTTTCCTGCCCATTGTTGGACCTGTTCTGATTTACTCTTGAATGCTATTGCCCTGGCTTCTAAAAACCCCACCTGTTACAGACTGGTTTTCTCCTCTGACTTTGCTGCCATCCATTTTCAGCATATCATCAGTCAATAAGGAAAACATCCATCACTCAGGGTACTACAACAGAAATGGGGTATCTGCTTTACCTTCCTTCCGCCCTCAATTTGGGCATCTCTCAAATTAGATTTAAGGTAAAATAAAGATACATATGAAAAGATATTGCGTATTAATAGCCCAAACACTACTAATTTTCTGAAAAGAGGAAAGCAGCTCATGAGTCAATTAGATGTATCTTGCAAGGTAGAAGAGCTGAAACACACAAGATGAAGCCACCGTTTCTGCCAGGGATGAGCAGAGAGATTAAACCATACTACAAATAGATTTATTTTACTTATTTATCAAATGTTGATACCGCCCACCTCACTGTCAAAGTAAATAGATGCAATTTGCTTGCCCTCCATTTTCCAATAGGAAATTTAGAGGGTCTGTTTTCCTGCTGCCTGGAGAGAAGTAATGGAGGAGAGAGTCTAGGGAGATTCTCAGTCATCTAGGTCATGGTTGTCCTAAAGGTGCTTTTTCAAGAGGCAACTGGACTTTCTTGTTTTCCTGTGGAGACATTTTGCTTCTCATCTAAGAAGCTTCTTCAGCTCTGACTGGATGGTGGGGAATGGAAGGATTTATACTCCTTGCAGACAGCTGGTCATTTGCATCCTTTTAGAGAGTTGTTGAGGCCACCATCAGGTCACAGGGAAAGTCCAGTTGCCTCTTGAAAAAGCACATTTGGGATGATGGAGGAGAGAGGAGATGGATAGCAAACCTCAAGAAACAAAGCGCTGAAGGGAGAAGGAGAAGGAAATAGTTAAGACAGAGGCTGGCTAGTCCAAAGAGGAAAAGCAACAGGCTTCCCCACTATCATAACATATCCATTCTTGGTCACCTGAGATTTTCTCCAAGATAAGGGGGGAAGGGAAATAGATTTTATACACCTTGAGGCTGTGGTTGGATGGGCTCAGAATAAGAGGAGAGGAAAAGACTAGTTTTATACTAGTGCATCTAATGATGACTTAAGGCTTGGAGTCTTACTCATGGGCTGAGACAAGGTAAAGATAACCTCACGGGAAAATTGGGGAAATTGGCATCGACAGAGTATGGTTAAGGACAGCAACGTGATTCAGAATCAGCCAGTCTAACGTATAGCAACAGCAATAGCACTTAGACTTATATACTGCTTCATAGTGCTTTTACAACCCACTCTAAGCGGTTTACAGACTCAGCATATTGCCCCCAACAATCTGGGTCCTCATTTTATCTACCTCGGAAGGATGGAAGGCTGAGTCAACCTTGAGCCAGTGAGATTCGATCTGCTGAACTGCAGCTAACAGTCAGCTGAAGTAAGTTGCAGTACTGCACTCTAACCACTGCACCTCTTATATTGTTTCCCTCATCAATAAGGATGCGGCAAAATCTATTTTATTTACCCAACTTCTTTCCAATCATCTGTCAGACTGAAAAGGAGAAAAGCCTTGGATGTGATACTTTTATCATATAACCCTAATAAGAAAGCAAAGGACAGCACTTTACAAAATGCTAAAAATTCAAGCCATTGATCCCAGGTATCGGTGTGGTTCTAAACTGTCCACACTTCAGAACTTACCTAAATTTCTATTTTCTAAAACTGGGTGGAAAATGCAAAGAAGGGATGAGGAGGTGGGGGTGGCAGGAAAACCTGGTATCGATTTCAACATGTGCAGCTGTATTCTATGCTATATAGAATTCTCAAGCATTCCTTTGTGTTGTGTGAGCACCCAAGCCCTACTGTAAAACAACCAAATGTTTACAGGGACATAGTCAAACGATATGTCTAAAACACATTTACCATTTAAAAAATAATCTATCCCCCTACCCATCCAAAAAACCCCAAAACAAAACAAAAATTGGAGAAGAAAGAAGAAATCTACAAAGTCCTACACACTTTTTACCTCTATGACCAGAAGATTGCTTGCCCTTGTTTAACACACACACACACACACACACACACACACACACACACAGTCAAATGAAATAGAACAACTCTCTTTGGGACTGAGACTTGTTCAAGGAAAAGATTTCAACCAAAAGCCAACGGTCTGGGATATCTCAGCTACACACATAATCTCCTTCTGGATTCTGCGCGTGAAGCCAAAATTTAAGAACAGAGTGGTTTCCTTACGATTGTAACTGTAGGGTTATATACAGGAATAGCGTTGGTGATCATCTCGCCCAAGTACAGGATAACACCAACTGATGCCATTATAGCACTTGTGATGTTCATTCCTACACTGGATTTCACCTGAAACAGCAATACAGCAGAAAGAGAGAAATTAGTTACAGTGTCAGCATAAATCTTATTAAATACAAAGCATAAAAATAATTAGCCCCAAATATAGAATTCAATCTGTGTGTGTGTTTAATGACACATAACTGGAGAGATTCTCATCAGTTGTTGTTTTGTAGGTTAAACCAGGCTGATGCTCTAGTTGTGTTCTGATAAGAAACCTCACCGCATCCGAGAAACAAAGCTGGAATACAGATCCCTGCTCTCATGTCCTTCACAATAACTGGTTCTGTCCAAATCAGTATGAGCTAGCTGGAAGATGGCAAGCAACATGATCTTCCATGCCTGCTGCCTTTAGATCCAACTGCCACTAACAGGACAGGAGGGACATTACAATAAAACTTTGTCCACGTGGAGAGATTCCATTTAGCTGGGTGGATCTGAGATGGCGCTAGGATTTAAAAGAGCCATTTTGCATGGGAATGGAAGCAAGAAGTCAGCCCTTCTCCTTCTTCATGGTTAACTTTTTCTTCCTGAGAAACCTGTGTGCTTCCTGAGCCCTTGTGGCAATCTTCCGCTGTTGGAAGGGAATGTTCTCTCACACAGCGGGATGAAGGGAACAGCGGTTCGCCGCCTGCCGGATCCAAGGATTCCGGGATGCCAAGAAGGCGGAGAGATCGCCCAGAAATTTGAGAGGAAGGGGCGGTAGAGAGGGTGAAAAGTTTAAAAGGGGAGGATTTGACGGGAAAAGAGGAAGGAAGGAAAAGGAGGGAGAGAACTGAGGGGAAGGAGAGAAGCGAAAGTGAAACAGGGGAAAAAAAAAGAGAGATACGGGAGCGGCCACGGAGAAGAATAGGGGCGCAGGAAAAGCTGTCGGGACGATCAGAGAAAGAGAAAGGCAAGCGGGGAAATAGTAGCTGAAACAAAACCGGGATAGAGCGGGGGTGGGGAGGGGGGAGAGGCCGGGAAAGCATAGGACCGGGATAGGAGAAGAGAGAGAATAGCGAGAGGGGGAGAAGGGCTTATCTGCTTGTACTATCACCGATCTCACCGCCTGGCCCATGCTTTGGTGGGGCTGCATGAGAGCTCAGCGAGGCAAGTGAGGGGGAGACAGTGGAGCCAAGAGAGCAATGTAGGCCAGCTGAGCTGGGCCAGAAAGCGATCAGCTGAGTGGCGGCCACGAAAGAGCTGAGGCTGGAGTGGGAGAATGGGCGACCGGGAGCTTGGTTGCTGAGCGAGGAGGACGACTTGGTGGGAGGAGAGAGGCGAGCACAATAGGCCGGCAGCCGACGGGGCTAAGACAGTGGGAGAGCCCGAGTGCCTGGAGAAAGGGCCAGAGGGGACTTTTCGGGAATGGAGCTACACATGATTTAACTTTTCCTTCCTGAGAAAGTTGTGTGTACTTAACTATTCTCCTTCCTGAACCCTTCTGGCAATCTTCTGCAATTGGAATGTTATCTCATAAAGTGAGATTAAAGAGAAGGACCAGATTTTTGCCTCCTTTATGTTAAGTCATGAGCATTTCCTCACTTGTTTGTTTGCAGGCAATTTAGCTGTGGTAATACTTCCAGTAAGAATGGCCAGTGGAAATGTAATTCCCTCTAATGGAACATGCATAATCCAGACATCCCAGGGGTTCCCCGGTGTTGCTGTTCAGGTATCTGGAGCAATACCAAATCTTCAGTACAGAGCTCAGCAACTTGGAACTTTCACCAGTGCTCCTCAACAAGGTCCCCAGAAAGGCCCTTTGGAGAGATTCCTCAATGCTGAGATGAAAGTACTTGGGGTAAGCATGTTCACAATGTACCTCTTTGAAGTCCATTAAGGTTTTACTGCTATGTAGAGACCTGAGAGCCCCACTGTTGGATCAGGAATCTAATAATTTAAATGAAAGTCTTGAGGGAACCTATGTGCACAGTAGCTCAGCAGGTCTTCAGGGTCCTGCAAAGTCCCCCAGGAGACACCCAACATCCCTGAGGGAGCACCCAATGTCCTTGGAATGGAAAACCAAGGGAGGTGGCTGACTGTTTCTGTACTTCTTTGTCTTATCTATAGAGTGCCACTTTTCTGGGTGATGAAGTAAACAATCTAGTAAGCATATAAATATGAGTGTCACAGTGTGTTCAGGGTACCCTCCTCAAATGAGAGGAGGGGCATCTTTATTAAGCTGAATAAACACGTAAAGCTTATGGAGGCAAATACTGGGACTCTTGTCTTTATTATACCGAGCCTCACCTGAAAACCAGCAAAACACCATGCTGTGAACTTCTTGGCTTGGCTATTGTTCTTCCTGGTAGTTTCTTTTGCGTTTGCAGAAAAAATCTGATTCAGATATGCATTTCTTTGCTTGGGAAAGTGAAGCTCAGCCATTATTTCAGCCAGATATCTTTTTCTCCCTTCCCTCTGAGAAATACAGCTGTTGGGCATTTCTCCAGAAGAACCTCATCATGGATTGGCTATAGCTAAAGCCAGGTGAAGTCACTTAGTGCTTATGACTATGCTTAACTTCTTCCTGCAGGGGAGTCTGTAGTGAGAGAAGTGATATTCCTCTCTCAAAGGCCCATCTTGACCTTCTTCCTGACAAGAGCAGTCCCACTATAGGTCAAACAAGATCATCATCTGGAGTAAATGTCCGGCACATAGTGACAATGGTGTCTCAAACTGTCCCTTCTCCCCATTTGGATTTTTCACCATAGGAAACCAGGCCTTGGGTCAACATCTGCACTGGAAGCTTAAAAGCCCCAACACTTTGAAGGACCTTAGGTTGATAGAAAGCGATGCCTTTCCTGGGGTGCTAACAAATTAGAATGTTTGTCTCTCTTGGATTCAGAGAGTTAACTTGTCTTATTTTGTGTGTTTTCCTTCCATAGACCGTCCAAATCATGATTGGGTTGATGCACATTGGCTTTGCGGCTGTCGCAATTTGTCTTGCTCTCGCAGGCTACATTGCCTGGTCTGCAGGTTATTCCATTTGGGGAGGGATCTTAGTAAGTATGTGTGAATTCCTGTTCAGTCATTCACTATGGAATTAATGGCCAAGAGCACCTATCAAAGTCCTATCTGCCCTGCAGTATCCTGATTTCCTCATGTTTGTGAGTCCCTCCTTGTGAAGTGGGGTCATGGGGCACAGATGGGCTTGCTGGTTACGTACCTGGCTCCCTGCCACGTGGCGGTGGCCCTGCCTGAACTGCTCAACGTTATAGCCGCGGTGGCAGTTGATACCCCTAGGCTTATGGTTATGGGGGATTTTAACCTGCCATCCGTTGGTGAGGCATCTGAGATGGCTCGGGAGTTCATGGCTTCCATGATGGCCATGGACCTGACCCAGTTAGTTCATGGCCCTACTCACACGGGGGGAAACACGCTGGACCTGGTTTTTGTCTCTGGTCAGTGGTTGAGTGATCTTGAGATAGGGGATATAGTGATCGAGCCCTTGTCATGGTCAGATCACTCCCTCCTTCGCTTTGACCTTCGAACCACCACACCCCGCTGCAGGGAGGCGGAACCGATGAGGTGGTTCCGCTCCAGGCGCCTGATGGATCCGGATAGGTTCCAGACGGAGCTTGGGCCATTTCCTGAGGCTCTGGCTCACGGCTCGACTGAAGACCTAGTGGCCGCCTGGGATAGGGCGGCTGCTGGAGCTTTTGACCGGGTTGTGCCTTTGCAGCCTCTGATCCGGCACCAGTCTCAGACCGGAGATGAAGCGCCGGAAAAGATGCCTGAAGGGCCAGCCGTTCTGAATCCGACTGAACACTGGTAAGGTCTTATATTAAGACCTACCTGGTGGCGATAACAGCGGCAAAATATAATTATTTTTCTGGACCAGTTGGAGCCTCCGGGTGCTTTTCAAGGGGAGCCCCATGTAGAGAGCATTGCAGTAGTCCAGTCGGGAAGTGACAAGGGCGTGAGTGACTGTGCGCAAGGCGTCGCGATCCAGAAAGGGCCGCAACTGGCGGATAAGGCGAACCTGATGAAAAGCCCCCCTGGCCACGGCCGTCATATGTTCTTCTAAAGACAGCCGTGCATCCAGGAGGACGCCCAGATTGCGGGCCCTCTCTGTGGGGGGCAAAGACTCACCCCCAATAGTCAGCGATGGCACCAGCTGACTATATCGCGACGCCGGGAACCACAGCCACTCGGTCTTGGAGGGGTTGAGTCTGAGCCTATTTCTCCCCATCCAGACCCGCACGGCCTCCAGGCAGCGAGACATCACATCAAGGGCATCGTTGGGGTGGTCTGGGGTGGAGATGTACAGCTGAGTATCATCAGCGTACAGATGGACTCTCACCCCAAAACCATGGATGATCTCACCCAGCGGCTTCACATAAATGTTGAACAGAAGGGGCGAGAGGACCGACCCCTGCGGCACTCCCCATGCAAGGCACCTCGAAGTTGACCTCTGCCCCCCTGTCAACACGAACTGCAAGCGGTCGGAGAGGAAGGAGGAGAACCACCACAAAACGGTGCCCCCTATTCCTAACCCCCTCAACCGCTGCAGCATGATACCATGGTTGATGGTATCAAAAGCCGCTGAGAGATCTAACAGGACCAGGACAGAGGAGCTTCCCTCCTGCGCGAGGTGCACTGGCTCCCGGGGGTCTTTCGGGTGCGCTTCAAGGTTCTGGTTACCACCTTTAGAGCGCTCCATGGTTTAGGACTTGGGTACCTACAAGACCGCTTTCTGCCACCAATAGTCTCTCACTGACCAGTACGCTCCCATAGAGAGGGTCTTCCCAGAGTGCCGTCGGTCAAACAATGTCAACTGGCGGCCCCCAGGGGGAGAGCCTTCTCTGTGGAGGCACCTGCCATCTGAACGAGCTCACCCCGGAGATACGGAGGATCCCGGATCTGCGCACTTTCCACTGCACCCTCAAAACATTCCTATTTCAGCAGGCTGGTCTGGCCTAACCTCCCTTTTTAATTGCTTTTAAATTGGTTTTATAATTGGGGTGTTTTAAATCTGGCCAAAGTATTTAATGTATTTTAAATTGTTTTTAACGTTTGTATTATGTATATTTTATTTTTTTGGCTGTTCACTGCCCTGAGTCCTTCGGGAGTAGGGCGGTATATAAATTTAATTATAAATAAATAAATAAATAAATATAAATGTTTCATTTATATCCCGAGGGAGAGCATTATGAGAGATGGACTCCAAGGAGACTTTTTTTAAAAAAAACCCTGATTAACAGATGAGAACTCATTACTGTCCCACATTAGAAGAATATAATAAGCTCCAATATGTCACTTAAATAAATTAGGAAAGCATATTAACAAATCTGAAGAAAGAAATAGAAATCAAAAGGCCTCTTTTGTAGAGGAAGAGGAAGGGAAATAAAAAAGCTATATTTTGGAAAAGTAGAGATTAGATTTACTTTAAAAAACAAGCTGCAGAAATATTGAGGTCTCTTATCTCAATGGAAGCTGAAACTATTTTTTTGTATGGAATCCTAACAACCAGCTCCAAAAATTTCCTCACTTCATTCCAGCCTTCCACAAAGGATTCATTGTGCTCATCTCCATTGGACTGTTTTGGAGTTTTGCCTCCCCCCCCCCACTTTTCTCCTTGACATAGTTCCTGGAGTATTTGGGCTCCCTGCCCAACCTGTTGAGAGTGGCTGGTGCATTTAAGACAAAGAGTGCCATTTGCTATGGGTTTGCTACAAGTTCCTGACATCCAAGCTCTTTTCCCTATAAGTCTTAAACTCTTGATGCACGTCTGTTTTTGCAGGGGTTGGGGGGGATATTTATTAATATTCTAGGCTGCCCAATCCAAAACAATTCAGGCTGACTTCAGAAAATTAAAATGATAATCATATTTAAAATAATATATTGTTGTAAAAAGACTATTTATTTATTTATTGGTTTGATTTATATGCCGCCCTTCTCCGGAGACTCAGGGCAGTTTACAATGTGTTAAGCAATAGCCGTCATACTTTTGTATATACCTGCTTAATAGGGCTTTCGGGGCCCCCTAAGTGGTGTTCTTTTTTATACAAAGTCAGCTTATTGCCCCCACAATCCGGGTCCTCATTTTACCTACCTCGGAAGGATGGAAGGCTGAGTCAACCTTGAGCCTGGTGAGATATGAACTCGCCGTAATTGCAGGCAGCTGGCAGCTAAGTGCTACTTAACAGCACTTTTAGTCCGCTGCGCCACCAAGGCTCTTTTCCATGGATCCCAGATTTTTCTGATGTTTTTTCCTTTGATATTTCCAGTGGACTATAATCATTTTTTTTTCTTTTTCCAGTTCATTTCTTCTGGATCACTCTGTATATCAGCTGCGAAGAATGAAAACCGTAGTTTGGTGAGAAAGCTATAAGGCTTTTTAATGTTTTTTATGCTATTTCTTTGTAAGCACTCGTGACGCTTTATATTGTGTATGGTCTTCAAATACTACTTAGTCTTAAATCAACATTTGGGAAAGAAAAGCAAATACAAAAATTATACCACTTTCCTTCTTTGATCAACTTTCGCTTCCAGGCCTTGCTTCCTGAAAGTTCTATGTCAGCAGTAGAGAATTTTCAACCATCCAGAATTAGAAGCTCCCCGGTTCCCCTTTTTGCAATGGGCTTCTTCCCAAATTCCCTTCCTGATGTGCAATCTGTCAGTAGCATGACAGAAATGAGAGAAGCCTGAAAGTGCCAATGACCCTGAAGTCACTTCTTGTTTTACCAGAGCATCCTTAGTTGCTACCAGAAATAATGCTAGTCCTGAGGAACTGCATGTTGTCTGGTTTCACTACTGATGGATAATGCACCATTAAACACATACATAGATAGATTTTATTACTGGCTTTACCATAGTTGGTTGTAAATTTCTTTATGGTTTGTATTTAATAAGACCTTTGCTTTTGTTTCCATTTTACTTCCCACTGGTATATTGCTCTTTTCTTTCAGGTGAAATGCTGTGTAGGAATGAACATTACAAGTGCCATAATTGCATTAATTGGTATTCTGCAGTATATATTTGAGATGGCCACGATTAATAGTTTTTCTTTAAATTCCAATTCAGAGGATTGGGCAAAAGTAAGTAAACCAATCTGCTTTAGAATTTTGGCTTTGTATGTAGAATCCAGAAGGATATTTATGTACACAATAGATATATCACAGGGTTAGGCAGGGATCATGTGTGGTTTGGGGCAAATAAAGAACTGGAGTCCAGATTTGCAGGCATGAGGTTTCTTATGGAACTTTCCACAATTCCAAAGGCCTGCTAAGACCTGAACTTTCCTTCAGTCATTTCTACCTAAGAATCTTTTGACTGTCTATCAGAATCTGGAATCAACACCAGGCCCATTGAATTTGGTTTGAAAAAAATTTTTTTTTTAAATTTGATTTATATGCCGCCCTTCTCTGGAGACTCAGGGCAGCTTACAATGCATTAAGCAATAGCCTTCATACTTTTTGTATATTTATACAAAGTCAGCTTATTGCCCCTACAAACTGGGTCCTCAATTTACCTACCTTAGAAAGGATGGAAGGCTGAGTCAACTTTGAGCCTGGTGAGATTCGAACTTACAGTAATTGCAGACAGCTAATCACAATGCTATCAGTCTGCTGAGCCACCAGACCCTTGTATTTTCCTAAAATACATCTCAGTCCCAAAGACACAAGCGCTACAGGTAGTCCTCAACTTACAACAGTTTGTTTAGTGACCAAACGTACAATAGCAGGGGGGAAAAAGTGACTTATGACCGTTTTCACCGTTGCAGCATCCCAAGCGTCACGTGATCAAAACTCAGTTGCTTGTCAACTGACTCATATTTATGACAGTTGCAGTGTCCCAAGGTCATGTGATCACCTTTTGCAGCCTGACAAGCAAAGTCTTTGGGGAAACCAGATTCACTTAACAACTGGGTTACTAACTTAACAACTGCAGTGATTTACTTGACAACTGCAAGAAAGGTCATAAAATGGCGCAAAATTCACTTAAGAAATGTCTCAATTACCAATGGAAATGTTGGCCTCAATTGTGGTCGTATGTGGTCATAAGTCAAGGACTACCTGAATTTCATTTGAAGGCTGATTTTTATAGTAATGATTATTAAAACTCAACAATCCAAAAAAATTAATGCAAAGTAAGAAAAATATAAAAAGAAAAAAATGAACAGTGCAAAGGAAAAATGAAAAAAAGAAAAATTCATAAATGACTTCTCCTTCAAGTCAAGTCCAATTTCAATAACCTATTAATAACATTATATTCACTGAAATTTCAACCAAGTTCTCTTCTTTCCCAATTAATCTCTTATTTATGAACAAATTATAAAGCCTCATCATTCAATATTAATCAGCAAAAGTCCAGTGAAGAGTTACCAGAAATAATACGGTATCTATTTTAACCTTAAACAACCTTCATTGTTGTTTATTTTCTTTATGAAGTAACATAATTTTCTCCAAAAGCAAGCAAACAAACTTTTCCCCATATCTTATTTATAAATAAATCTTTAAAACCTTACCATTCAAAATTTAATTAAGAGCTATCAGAAGCAACAACATACAAAATTTTTGATCTTTAATCCCTTCAGATAACATCCCACAAGTTAATTTTTCATCATTTTTTTCTTCTCTTAGAAACTCTAATTTTTGTAAAATTAACATGTGGAAAAAATAAGCACAGTGTAATGTCTTTCAATTTTAACATAATTTTTCCTTTTCTCTAAAAAACAAATAAAAGGAGCTGGCAGCACACCCTTGTTAGCGGGTATGCTCCCAGCTCCTTTTAAAGAGGTACTGGTAAAATCCCTCCTCAAGAAGTCATCGCTGGACTCCACGGTTCTGGGCAATTTTCGTTCAGTCTAGAGAAGGTAGTGGCTTTGCAATCCAGATGATCCTGGAGGAAACAGATTATCTGGACTCTTCAATCAAATTTCAGACCTGGAATTGGGACCGAAACAATATTGTTTCCACTAAAGAATGGTCTCTGATGGGACCAGGATGGAGGTGGTGCATCCATCCTTGCTCTTCTTGACTCTCAATATAGTATATTTCGATACTATTGGCCGTGGTATCCTTTTGGGCTGTCATATGGAGTTGGGAGTGGACAGCACAGTTCTTTGCTGGTCCACCTCCTTCCTTCAAGGTCAGTCCTAGTCAGTCCCAATTGATGTTAATAGGAAGCAAGGAGTCTACAGATACTGCTTGGTGGGATGGCACAGGACTCAGTGCTTTTTCTGCTCCTTTTTAACACCTACATGAAACTGCTGAGTAAGCAGTTTCGTCCATCACCATGTGATGAGGTATCACAAGTATGCTGATGATACCCAGTTATACATCTCTGGCCTAGGTGAACTGAGGAATGCTGTGGACATTCTTTTATGGTGCCTGGAGGCTGTGTGGCCTTCCAGGATTTCAACAGTTCAACACTGGTAAGATTTTCTCCTTAAAATCTGGATCCTAAATTCCCAATGCACTCAGCCAAACTTGTAAAGCTGAATTTGATTTGTCCCTTCTTTATTCTGATGGATCCCACATATTTAATAGTTACATGGCAGGCAGAATTATCCTGGGTTTTGGCATGTTAGATGGAGTTACTGACATTGGGAAAACCAAATGGGTAAGTTAAATTTGGTTTGCTTGTTTTCACATATTTCCTAGGAATGAAAAAAAACAACAACAACCTTAGATCTTTGTTTATACACCAGTGGCTTCCCCTATCAGTTTTGGGTTAAGTTGTTGTTTACTTATTGTTGTTTGTCTGTGTTGGCAGTTTTTGAATTAGCTTTGAATTTTTGCATCTATAAAACTAATGAGTTAGAATGTATGTTGGATTGTTCTTATCTGCTTTGTCCCACATGAACAACTTTTTATGGTGCATAACAGAGTAAAAAGGTTCAGGTGAAGTGTGTGCCCTTGTGCAAATATTTGATTTTATACATGGATCTGATCCCTGTTTGATTCTCTGGGGTATATTTGAGATTATCCAAAACATAGTAATACTACAATATTCCCTGATCTGGTTTTCTCATAATATCAGAGATTGCATACTGTCCCTGTTTTTCCTGATACAATGGTTCCTCCCAGTGTTTTCAAGGAAGCAGCTGGGAGTCCCTTTTAATGGTGGAGCACATAGATGGATTTATTTCCCAGCAAATCACAATCTTTCCATATGTGTCCTCCCTACTCTACAGAATGTTGGCATTTGCCTCTCCAGCGTGCTGTTCTTGTTCAGATTGCTGGAATTTGTCATCACTGTTTCACTTGCACATTTTGGATGCCAGGCAACTTGCTGTGGTAATAACCCCGTAAGTATTTGATCCTTTTTGATAATAACTTTAGCTATTATATCTGGACCAGGTGGGTAGATTTGATCAGAGAAAGGTGATTAAGTATGTCAGAGTGTTTACAGCATGACTACTATTTTGAGGCAACCCAGGAGCAAAATACAGGACACAGAGGTTTTGTCTTTACAAACAGTGTTTTGTATACAAGTTATATGCGGTATATATACATAGATGTGGTAAGCACATACCAGGCAATCAGTCAGTCTTCAACTCTACACGGAGAACTACAATGCAGGTACACAAGGAAAGAGTGATACAAGGGTGGGTGGGGCGCCCTCTAATGGCCTCCCTTATATAGACAGCTTCTTAAAGGGCAATAACCCTGCTGACTCATCCTCATTCTTAAAGGGCTGGTCAGCTTTAAATCCTCATTACCCTGACACGCCTCCCATTTAAAGTTGAACAGCTGAATGCCTTAATATATTCATGATGCTCTCTATTTCCATTATGTCTCCAGCTTCAGTTCCTACCCTCATTGCCTCAAACGCTACTAATACCATTACTACTATTGCTGCTGGAACTACTTCTAAATCCGTTATCTACTGACTCTGTACACTCTGTCTCATTAATCTCTATTACATCCTATTTACCATCTCTTGGCTGGATACCTTTACTTTCTCTTTTCACTAGCTCAATTTCCTCAGTTTGGTTTATCTGCCTGCCTATCATTCTCTTTATCTTCGGCTTCCTCCATTTATCTCATTGTTCCTTAGGCACTAACCATGATCCTATCTCTTAGTATTTACAAGGTTCATTATGAATACCACCTATTCTAACCCCACCAGCTTTGAACCTCTCAGGAAGTAAACCTTTATTATACCCTCCAGGTCTCCTAGGTATACCTCTGTTTGTTTGACTTGGGTTTTTCTTACTCACAGAATACACCCTGTATTTTTCCTCCTTACAAACAGTGCAATCTAAATACACATTGCGTTTCTTTATCTTAAGCCTCTCAGCTAGGTCTGGCATCTTCTTCAGTACGTTGAAACTTACATGTCCCAGTTGCCCATGCAACAAATATATGCAATTGTCATGTGTGGGAGCATTCATAAGTGCATGTGCACAACTATTCTCCTGCCTTCCTAGAACATACAGGCTTCTTAACCCCTCGTGCACGTATCCTTCCACCTTTCCCGATGGAGTACTGCCCTCCTGCAAACAGTATTTCATAACCCTGCCTGTCTAACCTTGATACACTTAACAGATTATGGTCTAATGTAGGTACATATAGGACATTGTACAATGTTTCTCCTATCTCAGGAACATACACGTTACCTTCCCCTTTTACAGCAGCTCTTTGACCATTAGCCAGACTAATCCATGTTTGCATAGTTGATCTCAAACCAGAAAACGCTTGTGGATTATTAGCAATATGCTGGCTCGCCCCACTGTCCAACACCCAAGTGTTCCTGGTGTTTTGAAATGCTGTCGCTGCTAGGAAAAACGACGCTGGAGGACCGTTCCTCATATGTTGAGTAGTCCTGCACCTTTGTCTCTCGCTGATCCTCTTTCTCCTCTCAGGGCAGCATCTCTGGAGATGTTCTGTAGAACCACACATGTAGTATCTCTTCACTGTGTAAACTGTCTCAACTGCTCTGCCCACATCCTGGACTGTTGCAGATGCTGGTCTGTGCTGAGCGTTCTCTCCCCCCTTTCATGGTCGCCTCTCCAGTCGTTTCTGCTCCTCCTCCAACAATCGACCAATCAAATATGCCATGATTAAATCCTGCTCTTGCATGGACTCTAGACTAGTCACAAGAATGTCCCATGAACTGTCCAAGGAACTGAGCACCACATACACCTTGTGCACTTCAGTAAACATCATTCCTCTGTCCTCTAACTCAAGGAATGTCTTTCTCATAGCCTGCAGATGTGTGGATATGCTCTCCTCCAGCTTCAGTTGTGCTTTATACAGTCTCCTGGCCAGCAACACTTTACTGCCCACAGTCTCTCTAACATACACACTGCGCAATGCTTCCCAGCACTCTTTTGCAGACTGGAGACCCCTCGTGTATCAGCTGACTGTCCTCTAAAGCCAGAATTATGCTGGCTAATGCTTTTTCATTTCTTCTCTGGTCCCCATCATCCAGGACTGCTGGTGGATTAGTAACTATCATGCACAACTCCTCCCTCTGCAGGTAAATCTCCATCTTCACATTCCAGGAGAGATAGTTTGTCTCATTTAGCCGAGACACCAAGAAACCTCTTCCCATTATGCTGACGGAGGCCATGCTGCCTGCTTTCTTTCACAAGCCACTAACCACTATCAAACCACGTTGCACAACCCCTCTGGCTCTGGTGCAAGCTCACACTGGGTTTTTCTTCTCTCTGGTCTCTCTAGTCACTCTGGCCTTCTCTCTGGACTGGGCCCATAACCTGTCAGAATGTTTACAGCATGACTACTATTTTGAGACAACCCAGGAGCAAAATACAGGACACAGAGGTTTTGTCTTTACAAACAGTGGTTTATATACAAGTTATATACAGTATATATACATACACATGGTAAACACATGCCAGGCAAGCAATCAGTCTTCAACTCTACATGGAGAACTACAATGCAGGTACATAAGGAGAGAGAGAGATGTCCTCTAATGGCCTCCCTTATATAGACAGCTTCTTAAAGGGCAATAACCCTGCTGACTTATCCTCATTCTTAAAGGGCTGGTCAGCTTTAAATCATCATTACCCTAACAAAATGGCCAGGCATAAGTCATTTGGATGTTAATTTCTGCCTTTAAAGACTTCTCTGTCAGAGCTTATAACTCTTGAAGGTTTCAGAGGATGAGGCCCCAGGTTATTTTAGGCAAGCACAGTGCTAGAAGTAAAAATACACAACTGGAGAAGCTATTCCCCTACCTGGAGAAAGATGTCCCCAAGACACAGTCAGTATTTTTATATATAACTATTATTTTCTGTTGCAGGCAGCCATGGGGTTTATACCTTATCAAGTAGTCAGCGGAGATGCACTACTCGCAACTGAACCAAATTCTTCCTTTCCACCAACCTATAATGATGTGGTTGCCAAGCCAGAGTAAGAAAAAGCAACAAGCCCAGGAAGGAATTGTGAGAAGTGGTCATAGAGGTCCACCAGAGGTCATAGAAGAAGCAATTCATATTATATTGTGTTGCTGTTGTTTTATTCTCTAGCTTATTTTTTCAATTACAGCCTTTAAGCATCACATTAAATAGTGGAAAGTTTTAAAAGTTTTAAAAGTTTTTAAAAATAATAGTTATAAGAAAGAAGCAAGAATTTTTGATGATGCGCACATTTTATTAGTCCTTTGTTAATATTCTGGATTGCATTTCCTTTTTCTGATGACTGTTGTATTATGAAGGAGGCCTGATGTTACAGAAACGAAAAAAAAAAAATCACCAAGCAAAATTGAAACACAAGTAATTGGTAAACAAGTCATTGGCAATAGCAATGTTAATATCAGTTACATACAGTAATTACTCTGTACAGTAATTACTCTGATCCCAAAGAGATTAGTTTGCATACATTTAAAGTCAAGTCTGTAGAGTGTTTGATACTGTTGTTTCCTATATATATATACAATAAAGCTGAATTAGTACTGCTAATGGAGTGTCTGCATGAAATTGCCTGCTTACTAATTCCAATAATGCCCCAACTGCAGGTTCAACTCTCCTTCTTCCAAAGAAAACCTGTTAGCTGTAAATGTTGGCAAGTCCTTTAGCCTGGTGAGTCTTGCCAAAACAGAGTTGGTGCCAGAAAGGCAGATTAAAATAGCTCTTTTTGTGTCCATAAGTAGAGAGGGCGTCTCACTGATTCCTTCAGCCAAAAGAGGAGCAGCTTAAAAAGCTGGGCAATTGCTTTATATATAGTTTAAACCTATTGGCTTTGGGGTGAGTTCTTTTATTGGTTATTGTCATTTTGACACATGTCTGTCTAGTAGCTTTAGCATGTAACTCGCAAACTCCCGGATTTTCCTAGTATGATTTTGTTGATGCTCATCTAAATATTCAGGACATGTGGTTTGCATATTATGAGTTTCAAAGTCACTAAAGTTCAAGTCCGGTGTCCTTGGCAGCTTTGAACCTGTTCTTATCTGGCTATACATTCTTCATTCATAGCTTGCTTTGTTGCTTCAAGAACTAAAAACATTAACTACCTAGTCCCAAAGGTGCTTTTTCAGGAGGCAACTGGACTTTCTTGTTTTTCTTTGAAGACCAAGAAGCTTTGACTGGATGATGGGGAGTGGAAGGATTTATATTCCTTGCAGACAGCTGGTCTTTTGCATTCTTTTAGAGAGTCATTGAGGCCACTTTGGAGGTTTATCTGTGCCCTCAGGGTCACCTGAGTAGTGCAAATGGGTGTGGAGCCTTCTTGGCTGCAGGATGTTTTCTGCCCTGTGTCCCTTCACTGTTGAAGGCAGGCACAGGCTGTTGGGGATGAGTCTGTTGTCTGCATCCAGCTGTTTGCAAGGAGTATAAATCCTTCCATTCTCCACCATCCAGTCAGAGCTAAAGAAACTTCATTGATGACAAGCAAAATGTCTTCAAAGAAAAAGAAAAAACCCAAGAAAGTCCAGTTGCCTGCTGAAAAAGCACCTTTGGGACAACCATGACCAATGATTGAGAATCATCCACAGTCATCAACAAAAACACCCAAATAGATCAAGTTATGTTAAGCACACAATAGATCTTCATTATTAACTTGTCCCCATCAGGTGCCTTGCTGTTACCCTTAAGTCAAGGTGATTTGTGTGTAAAAAACACTGATCCCAAAATATACTGCTCAAAAAAATAAAGGGAACACAAGCAGAAGACATCCAAGATCTGAATGAATGAAATAGCTTTATTAAATATTTGTTCTTTACATACGGTAGTTTATACACTGCTCAAACAACTAAAGGGAACACAAAACTACTGTAAGTTACAAACAAAGTATTTTATAAGGCTATTTCATTCATTCAGATCTCAGATGTCTTCTGCTTGTGTTCCCTTTATTTTTTTGAGCAGTGTATATATTCTTGATGGATCCTGACAATCTAACATACAACATAAGGACTGCAACAACCACTATGTAGGACAAACAGGCAGAAGACTGGCAGAATGCATCCATGAACACCAACTGGCATTCAGAAGACCTGATGAAAATTCTTTAATTTCGCAACAAACAGACAGATTTAACCATAGTTTCAACTGGGGAAATGTGACAATCCTAGACCAGGCCAAGTCCAAATATGCCAGGGAATTTCTAGAAGCCTGGCACTCTGACAAATCAGTCATCAATAGAGACACATAGGCATTAACAACCTCTATAGACTATGCAAAAGAGACAATCAACCAGCCCCAAAGAGAATGAAAAGACTCCAGCACCTCTCCATCAGTAATCAGCACCCTGATCAGCATAGATTAACTGCAAGGTCACCTTCAGACCAACAATCAAATAAACAATAACCCAATCAAGAAACTGCCAAAGAGCCATCAGTAAACAGCCCAACCAAAGAATCTCTAAGATCACCCACATCAGAATATAAACTGACAGCAAACAACATTCCTTACTAGCACTGATGTTATCTAGTTAGGGTAATGAAACATCTACAAGAAAACAAGCAAGTTAGAGAGCACCAAGGATATCCCTCAGATCAAGTTATGTTAAACACACAATAGATCTTCATGATTAACTTGATCCCACAAGGTGAGAAGATGGCATTTTCTCTCAGACTCGGTGCAAGACACACACACACCCATGGCAAGTCACATTCATGAGTAGTAGGTCAAGTATTGGACATGTCCCAGTACAACACTTAAGTTTTTAAGAAGACCATTTGTCTTAAATGGTATAGAGTTTCCTGCCTGAGCAGGGTGTTGGATTAGAAGACCTCCAAGGTCCCTTCCAATGCTGTCATTCTGTATTAACAAAGCCCAGAACATCTCTATAAATATTTCAAAGGTTTGTCTTCAATTGATGGCCCATCAAAAGTTGAATTGTGTGTTTATTTTGATATTGAATAAATTCAACCCCCACTTCAAGCAAGTATCCTGTGCTCCTTTACCCAGCCATGGAATGAACCAGAAATTTATTTAACCCAATCATAGGCAAATTAACAACATAGATTAATGTATCAGAATACTAATCTACCCACCTCCAATTTTCAAGAGAAAATCCATTTTAAAATTAAATCTCAACTATAGTTCTAGTATCTGTTGATTGGGAAGATTTTATGAATCAAGTCAGCAGCAATAAGACAAAGTAGATTTTGGTATGCCAGTGACACAAGGTACACACTGGAACATTCATAGAGTTGATTGTCAAGATAGCAAGTGCATTTTTGAGATAAGGGATTCCCTTATCTTTATTGATAAAGATTTATTGACAAATCTTGCTTGAACAAATAATTAAATCATTCAGGTTAAGTGTAACAAGATTTGCATATTTGCATATTAAAATTACGAAGCAAAACATTTAATTTAGGAAATTTAATTTTATACTCTTTCCTTCTCAAATGGAAGTATTCCATTGTACTTTTTTAAGGATTATTCCTATAAACTATATTTTAAAAGTAATTAAATATTAAAATATTGAACTATTATTCTTTGGACTGACTTAATGACATACATTCCAGATGCTTATTAAGATAATCTGGTGCTCAAATTGGGTTGAATGGGAATCAATGAGACAATTGCTTTTTGACAAGCTTCCCTTTGTTCTTTTGCTAAATATGATGAATTTGCTAAATACGATGAATGGCAGAGGTGGATGAGGTGCAGATTTAAATCCCATGTAACAAGACAAATAGCTCCATATAATCTATTGTAGGAAGAAATATCCTTCTGGGTTCTGCTCCAAGTGGGGAAAAAGACACTGGAAACATGGAGACTGCTTGGAAAGATGGTTTAATGGTGGACAGGATCACATGGCTTGAGTTCCTGAACAGAAAAGGGCAGATACAGGGAGTCTCTGGGTTTTTATGCTCTCTCTGGCTTTGAACTTCCTGGGGCCCAGAAAGTGTATCCTCATTGGTTGTCAGACTCCCAGGGGGTGGGGGGTTTTAGCTAGCCTTGCTGGCTGATGTAATCTTCCCAGGTCACATGCTATTGTGTTGCAGATGTCCTTAAAAAAGGATTGGGTTTCTGCCTCTGGCCCATTAACAAAAGGCTGGGGGCAGGAAGGTGGGAGCTGCTTTATCTTTAAAACATGCTTCTCCATTTCTCATCCAGGGAAACATAATATTCTGTCTTTTTAATATTTCCCAAAATATTTCATTCTTCTAGGAAAGGGGTGGGTCTATACAAACACTCAGCACCACTAATGCAGGTAGTCCTCAACCTACGACCACAATTGAGCCCAAAGTTTCTGTTGCTAAGTGAGACAGTTCAGTGAATTTTGCCCTATTTTATGACCTTTCTTGTCACAGTTGTTAAGCGAATCAGACAGTGTAGCTGTTAAGTTAGTAACCCAGTTGTTAAGTGAATCTGGCTTCCCCATCGATTTTGCTTGTAATCCGTTTGCAAAAGGGGATCACATGACCCCAGGATCCCGCAATCATGAAGATGAATCGGTTGCCACTTTTGATCATGTGACCACGAAGATGCAAGTGTGAAAAATGGTCATAAGTCACTTTTTCCAGTGCCTTTCTAATTTTGAATGATCACTAAATGAACTATTGTAAGTCAAGGACTACCTGTAGTAGTCCTGGTGGGCCTGGACTACTACCTGGCCTGGTGGCTCAGCAGACTGATAGCATTGTGATTAACACCAGCTGCCTGCAATTACTGCAAGTTCGAATCTCCCCAGGCTCAAGGTTGACTCAGCCTTCCATCCTTTCTAAGGTAGGTAAATTGAGGACCCAGTTTGTGGGGGCAATAAGCTGACTTTGTATAAATATACAAAAGTATGAAGGCTATTGCTTAACGCATTGTAAGCCGTCCTGAGTCTCCGGAGAAGGGCAGCATATAAATCAAATTAAAAAAAAAAAAAAAAAGTAACAGCTCAGCACTCTTAGAGGAAGCCAGGGATCTATAAGAGTCTGACTTAGGTTTGTGTGCATTTTGGGCTCATTGCCTTTTTTAAATGCACTGTTGCTCTTGAGAGTAAACTTTATTGCATAAAAAGCACACACACACACACAATTTTTTTGGAACAGATCCAGAGAATCCAAACTCAACAGGATGGTCATTTGGGCTACCAGGTTTCCTTTACGTTTCTCTATATTTTAAAACAACGTAGCTTTTTAAAAGCAATATGGCAATGTAAAATCCACCAGAACTTTCCTGGCCCATTTAAAGCAGCAATTTTTTTTCTCTCCAAACTGTTTCAACTTTTTTAGAAGCAGCCCTTGCCATCTTTTCTCCACAGTTTAATGAAACAAACTGGCTGTGCATTCACTCTCCAGCAGGAACAAGTGGATGCAGTTTTCAAAGCAACTAAGTAAATCTAGAAAAAAAAATGGTTTAACAGTTCAGAATGGCAATTAAAAGGTTAAAATACAAAGGTTGAAATACATGTTATAGGCGTGGTGACAAGATTATCAGTTCCTTCCTCCCCCTCAGGCATATAAATCAATCTCACAGGAAATGAAATCAATATTTTTTTTTAGTTACCATCAACACTC